TGATGGAAGACCCGGTCATTCTACCAGGATCCCGGGTGTCTATTGACCGAGCAACGATCCGGTCGCATCTGCTCAGCGATCCTCATGATCCGTTCAACCGGGCACCGCTAAAGATGGAAGACGTAATACCCGGTAGGCTTCATAGTGTGGATTGGTGGTGAAAGGATGAGTACTAACTGTTGCATAGATACCGAACTTAAGGCCAAGATTGAGTCATTCAAGTCCGAGAGACTGGCTGAGCGGAGGCGCGTGTTGGAGCCGATGGATACGACGAACTGATGGAATGCAAAAGTGAGCGACGAGAGTGAGTTCTGTCTGATTTTGGATCCGCATGTTATAGTTGGGATGGTCTTCTTTCGGCGAGTTTGGGTTAGACTTGCATAGGGAGGTAATGCCAGGATGCAATGACGATATCATTATCTCGTAGTAACTTTATGAGCAGTAACCTTAACTTGTGAATACTTAACTTCATGCCTTGGATCCTTGTAGATGCTGACTCATCCGCCAACTCTTGATCTTCATCGTCACCTCGTCCATTGATGTAACATTACTCAATTTCTCCATTTCTATCCTCTTCCCACTACTTCACCTGCCATTGGCATAACCCACAAAAGCAACACCAACTAATACCAACAACGACAATGGGCTCCGCCCTCTCCATCCTCAACCACCTTCCCCCCTGGGAGCACCTCATCCACCCAACCCCAGAAATCTACACTCATTTCCTCAACATCTTCCAATACTTTCCACTCGTACGTCCACACCCACACCTATACATCACCAACCCCCAAACCCCATCACCTTCACCCAAATACTAACCAAAAAAATAAAATCCAGGTATCCCTCCTCCAATGGCTAACCTCCTACCACCCAGCGGGCAAAACCTCTCTGAAATCCTCCCCCCTAAACCTCCCTGGCCGCTGGGCCTGGTGCATCATGGAGATAGTATCCCCCATGACCCTCCTCTACCTACTCTACACTTTACCCAAACACTACCCAGACCTAACCCTCTCCCCATCACTGTCTACACTCCCCACGGGTAACAAATTCCTCGCTTTCCTCTTCACCCTGCACTACACCAACCGCGCCATCATCTCCCCGTTCTTCGCGGCACCCAGCATCTCCCCTATTCATGTGATTATTGCCTCCTCCGCGGTAGCGTTTAATTGGTTCAATGCCGTTTGTTTGGCCGGGTGGTTGGCTGGGTATCCTGTTCCTTATTCTACCTCAGCCTCTTATTCTTCTTATGCTTCTGGTGGTAGTGGAAGTGGTACTAGTGGAAGTATAGGAAGAGCACTCCTCGGTCCACTAGGCCTCACCCTCTTCCTGGGAGGAATGGCAGGGAATATCTCTGCTGAGCGGACGTTGTTCAGATTGAGGAGGGAGGAGGCGCATCGGAAGAAGGCATCTCCTTCTCCCCCTCCTTCTACATCATCGTCATCATCCACCAAAGATGCCGATAAAGAAGGTAAAAATAAGAAAGGAGGAAATATCTACTCCAAAATATACACCATCCCGCCCCCCACCGGCCTCTTCACATCCATTCTCTATCCGCATTACGTCGCGGAGTGGATTGAGTGGCTTGGGTTTGCGATCTTAGCTGCTAGGATTGTCACCACCACACCTTCAGTTAAAGTTGGTGCTGGTGCTGGGGATGGTTCCTTCCAGCTGGCGCCGTGGCTCGTCCCCGTTGCGAGAATAGCTGACTGGATGGGCGTGCCGATGCCGTTGCCTGCGGTGGTGTTTCTGGTTAATGCGGTGTCGAATATGTTGCCGCATGCGAGGTGGGGGAGGAAGTGGTATGTTGAGAAGTTTGGGGAGGGGAGGGTTAAGGGACGGGGGGCGGTGGTGCCTTTTTTCAGCTGGTTGTAATTGTTACTTATTCTTTTGTTTGTTCAGGGAAGAGGGTTGGGGGTTGGGTGAATTGGTATGGATTGGGTTGTATTTGGGTAATGGTGCTGGTAAAAGTAATGGGTTGTGTATAGTTGAGTGAAGGATGTATATATGATAGCTTGTGGTTGTGTATAATATCATATCTCCTAAATGAGTAATATCTACAGAAATCCGTCTTTTACATAGATCATAAGCAAGTTCATGCTGGAGCTACAATCATCTACATCAGCTACTCTACGGTTAGAACAATCATGGATAAAGAAATGTCAAGCTCAAATGTGACCATTCGAGCATTTGTCATATTCATTAAGGGCAGTAAAGTAGCGACCCTTTTTTGTGATATACACAATCATTGTTGAAATATTATTGATCTCGGCGTTGCAGACGTCACCGACGTTCCCGCATTCCGCCCCCAAAACTCGCAAAATGCAAGAGAAAACTTGGCGTCGATGTTTTATGCGAACGCCGATGTTGAAAGCGTTATCATATGTTGAAAACTCCGGTGACCCCATCTAATGAAACCCTAACCCATATGTTGAACTTTTGGTATCATCATCGTAAACTCATCAAAAAAGACTTTGGAAAGGGATCTGCTAGAGTCCGCTTCCCCGAGACGACAGGTTGAGAATGTCGCCCCCAATCATGGGTTATTAAAAAAATGTAATGATTAAAGAAGAATTTAGTTTCCGTGCTTCTGACGGAAGAACTTGGCAGCGTTGACCATGTTGGTCAGGGCAGCCTTGGTCTCGGGCCACTGACGGGTCTTCAGACCACAGTCGGGGTTGATCCAAAGCTGCTCAGGGCGGAGGTACTGAAGCATCTCCTCGACGCGGTCCTTGATCTCCTGCTCGCTGGGAACACGAGGAGAGTGGATGTCGTAGACACCAGGTCCAATGTGACGGGGGTAGGCCTCGTCGATGAAGACCTTGAGCAGCTTGGCATCCGACTTGCTGTTCTCAATGCTCAGAACATCGGCATCCAGCGCAGCGATGGCGTGGAAGAAGTCCTGGAACTCAGAGTAACAGAAGTGAGAGTGGATCTGAGTACCGTCGGTGACACCAGAGGTGGCCAGGCGGAAGGCACGGACGGCCCACTTGAGGTACTCCTCACGCTCCTTGCCAGCACGGAGGGGGAGACCCTCACGAAGAGCGGGCTCGTCGACCTGGATGACCTTGACGCCGGCAGTCTCAAGGTCAACAACCTCGTCACGCAGAGCGAGAGCGAGCTGCTGAGCCTGGACGGACTGGTGGACATCGTCACGAGGGAAAGACCAGCGCAAGCAAGTGATGGGGCCGGTAAGCATACCCTTCATGGGCTTCTTGGAGATCGAGACAGCGTACTTGGACTCCTTGACGGTCATGGGAGCGGGACGAGAGATGTCACCGACAATGATCGGGGGACGCACGCAACGGGAGCCGTAAGACTGGACCCAGGCGTGGGTGGTGAAAACGTAACCAGTGAGACGCTCACCGAAGTACTGGACCATGTCGTTACGCTCGGGCTCACCGTGGACGAGAACGTCCAGGTCAAGCTCCTCCTGGATCTTGACGACCTCCTCGATCTCCTTCTCGATGAACTTCTCGTACTCCTGGGCAGTGATCTCACCCTTGGTGAACTTGTTGCGCTGGATACGGATCTCCTTGGTCTGGGGGAAGGATCCGATGGTAGTGGTAGGGAAGAGAGGGAGGTTGATGGACTTGCTCTGCTCGGCAATACGGGCGGAGAAAGGAGACTGGCGGTTGTGCTGCTCCTCAGTGACGGCAGCCTGGCGCTCCTTGACCTTGGGGTCGTTGGTGCGCTTGGAGGAAGCACGAGCCTGGACAGACTTGGCGTTAACCTCGAGCTGCTCACGGACAGCAGCGGGGCCCTCGGTGACGGCCTTGGCGATCACAACAACTTCGTCAAGCTTCTGCACAGCAAAGCTGAACCAGTCGCGGACCTCAGGGTCCAGGGTCTTCTCGCTCTCGAGAGTGTGGGGAACGTGGAGGAGGGAGCTGGAGGTGGCAACAACAACGCGCTCCTTGCCGAGCTTCTGGATGGCCAGCTCGACCTTCTCGATGGCAGCCTTGAAGTTGGTCTTCCAGATGTTACGACCGTCAACAACACCAGCAGACAGAATCTGCTTAGGGCCAAGGGCAGCAACAACAGCGTCGAGCTGCTCAGGGTTGCGGACGAGGTCAATGTGGATACCGTGGAGGCTCTGGAGGGCAGGGAAGACATCAAGGTTGTGAACAATGTCACCGAAGTAGGTGGCAAGGACCAGACGGGGAGCCTGGGCACCAAGGGCACCGAGCTTCTCGTAGGCGGGCTTGAAAGCAGCCTTGGACTTGGCGGGGAGGTCGAAGACGAGGACGGGCTCATCGATCTGAACCTCCTCAGCACCAGCCTCCTTGAGCTTCTGGAGCAGCTCAACGTAGACGGGGAGGAGCTCCTCAATCTTGGTGATGGGGTCCACGGACTGACCACGGTCAGCCTTGGCGAGGGTCAGGAAAGAGACAGGACCCAGGATGACGGGGCGAGTGACAACGCCAGCCTCCTTGGCCTCAAGGAACTGAACGACAGGCTTGGGCTGCTCAGCCAGCTTGAAGGTCTGGTTGTCCTGGAGGGTAGGCTTGACGTAGTGGTAGTTGGAGTCAAACCACTTGACCATCTCCAGACTGGGGACATCAATGGCGGCCTGACCATCCTTGGCGGGCTTCTGAAGACCACGACCCATGGCGAAGTACTCGTCAAGGGGGTGGAGGTTATACTTGCTGTAGCGCTCGGGGATGACCTATTGGAGGAGAACGTTAGCGAATGAGGTAATTAAGAAGCATCAGACCGAGGATACATACACCGAAGAGCTGGATGTGGTCGAGGACCTGGTCGTAGAAAGCAAAGTCGTTGCTGGGGATCACATCAACACCAGCATCCTTCTGGAGCTTCCAGTGCTCCAGACGGAGTCTCTTTCCCTCAGCCAAGAGCTCATCACGAGAGATCTTGTCACCCCAGTAAGCCTCAGTGGCCTTCTTGAGGTCACGGAGCTTTCCCATACGAGGGAAACCCAAGACGGAGCTAAAGCAGATACCATTAGCATTGACATTTTTCTGATGAAGGCAGACGGTGAAAACTTACGATTGAACCATCTTGAAAGATATGTGTGTAGAAGTGATGGAGAAAAAAGGTAGAGTTTAACAGAGGGAGAATATATGAAGAATTGGATGAAAAAGAAGACAGAGAAGACAGTCAAGGACTATACAATAGTCTCTTGCTGAGAAAAAGGATGAAGAGAGAAACAGGGGGGAGGGATGGAGAGAGAAAGAAGAGAAGAAAGAGAGGGAAGAAGAGGATGGAGGGGAGTTGTTATAAGCAGACGGAGGAGGGGAGGGAGTGGGGCGAGGGGTTTGGATTGATACCAAAAATACCATGGATACCACACCAGTACCTGGAAACCTGACCGTGTTCCAGACTCCAGATCAGGCATACTTACATGTGCCTGTTCGGTAAGGTAAGATAGTCCCGCCTCTGAAGTGGTATGTATACAGTAAGGAATGGAAGGGAAGGTTTTCGCCATTCTGTGAGTATCTGCACTCATTCTCTTCGTTGTCGCTCTCCTCTCCAATGCCTCCCCTCCCTCCTCCCCCAGCTATCTACACTTGAGCCCCTTTCCCACATTACCACTAAGTTCCTGACCCTCCGGACCCAAACAAGTCCAATGTCCTCCGGTTTTTGAGGTATGTGTCATCCTTGAAAATTTTAGTAACCCGTCCGTTGGGAGGGGCCAGAACTAAACCCATCCCGAACATAGTGCTAAATGGCGTGATTAAGTATTGGATAAACGGGCCAGTCAGCGCCGTGGAAAAGTCCGGAGTATCCCTCGGACCACCTCTGCCTGCCTTCCGGGATCGGCCCCCATTAAGGTTCTGGCTGGTGGGTTGCCAGGCTGATACGAGCTGGTTAGCCACGCCCATTACCTACGCAGTTCCAACTCTTCTTCTGCTGCCCATACAGTCGAGACTGGCTTCTGTCCGCGATGGAGCCGATTCGGACCTGCAAAATGGATCTGCGCTGAGACCCATTGGCCGCATCGGCTGACTCCCAGCGTGCTGCACGAGGTGGCCACTGGGCCTATCAGAGTGGGCAATTACCCAAATCTGAGGTGAGATCTGCCATTCGGCGCTAGAGCTTGCCACAGTCCATGGGTCGAGATACGCAGTACGCAGTAGAAACTGACTAGCTGATGAATGTCGTTAGATTGATTCATCTTCGTTATGGAAAGAGCCAGAATCAATCTTCCCCCCCCGATACTCGGGATCCGTCTCAATTCACCCAGTACTACGACAGTATTCTACTAGTGACTCATTCGAAAAATAACCCGGAGTTTTTGTCGAGTCACAATGCTTTGAAGCGTGTCTCTAGTGCTGGTTCTGAAGTACTCGGCTTTTAAACATGGTGTTCGGAGTTCCTTTCGGGATGCGGAGTATCTTGCATGCATGCAGGTCTGGGGAAGCTCAGCTGGCCGACGAACAGTTACCGCAGAGTATGCTATAGATACAGTTCGAATGCGCCCCCCCCCCCCCCCCAATAGATCGGATGGTGACCACAATGCTCGTCCAAAATCCGATGATCTGGTTGAGAACCGTAGAGCTTAATTTATAACGCAGCTGCTCCTCTCAATGTAGTCGCAGCTTCCGTTCCTGTATGTTGCATAAGCTTGAAGGAGGCAGTTGCGCAGAATGCTCCGTCTGAACGGACTGCCCACCATGAATAAACAACACAAAACCGTGGACTTGTTGACAAGGGCATTATCATTCACCTTGAGATAATAAACTTGTCCCGATGGCGTTCTTTCTCATCTGTCCCCGGTTCCGAAAATACTGGAAAGGCTCAGACTCCGACACAAGACACTCCTACAAATTGAACTCCGCTAGACCAGCACCAGATGGCGATTCGGATGGTGAGCCACGCGAGTCCGCTCGAGTGACAAGAGCACTGCTGACCCTGCTAGGGTATTCCAAGGACAGGCACGATGTCGCACGCCCCGGTCATCCCAGACGCTCCTCCGGTGGCCTGCCCGATAGACTCCGTAGACGTTTCTCTCGAGAAGCCAGAGACCAGCGTGTGAAGCCAAAAAATGATTGCAGAAAGTCTGGCTCCCCAGCATATCCATTCTCTTCCAGATTTGCCAGTCCTGGTGAAAGAGTAGCTACTCCCGACGAGGTTGGGAGCAGCTTCATGAGCGAAAGGGGATATGACAGCGACGCGCAGTTCATAAGCACCCCCAAGCAGATCAGCCACACCAGAGACCATCCATATAATCCACGTATCCTTGAGGAGGCTGCTATCTCCCCTTTGCGGCGCGAGATGGAACAGGGGATACCATATGTGCAGGCTCATAGTCCAGAGTTCGAAGACCTAGAGAGTGCACCATGTGCGGAACCTACTATAAGGGAAGAATCACAATCTGCTCTGCGTTCGAAGAGTCAGGTGTCTTGCATGACCCAATTGTCTCAAGGCTCCTCTGCCTTCCGCGGCACAGATGATGGGAGCCGTCGAATCAGGATTGCAAAGCCTCAAAGAGGTATGGCGGGCAGTCCAGTTCAAGGCAAGATGAGAAATGGACCTGTGTATCCAAAACAACACGGATACCGGCCTCCCCTTCGAATGGCTTCACCTGATCCTGGTATACATGGCTCGGGTTATTCGACTCCGGTGTCTCCTGTGCCATTCTCGTATGCCACGTCTGGAGACTCTTTGGTTGGGCCATCTTCACAGATCTCTGTCAGGAAACGACGCCGGCAGCCCCCCGCAGGCCCTGTACCAGACGATTGCTCTGTTCATCTTGGTGACTTGAATATCCCGACGACCTTGGCGTCTCGCTCAACGTCTCCTCGTATGCTATCACCGAAACAGTCGTTTGATGAGAATCGGTGGATCAGCACTGCTGGGACGTGGAACGTATCCCAGCCATTTCACGACTTTTCTGGGTTTGGAGCAGGAAAGGCACCGGATACCTACGCAACAGGACCAAGACCTAGGGGACCAGTGAACCAGGCGTCCTCGTGCTATTCTCAGAAGACCAGCCTGTCATCTACAGATGATCGAGTCGGCTCTATAGATAGACGGATACAGAATCAGGCCAACACTAAACAATCTCATGAACCCATCGCTTCTTTCAGTTGTTCCCCTCGATCATTGGAGTCGTCACTGGTGAATGCTCGTTATGCTCCCATTGCAGATCAGGATGCAGATAAAGTTGAAGCGCAGAAAAACATGTTTTCCGAGAGATTCGAATCAGCCCGTTCACTCAGCTCTCCTGCACATGGCCATGACGACGCGGATACGGACCTTGCATCGCCTCGCAAGGTGAGTGTTGGATGGATGTCAGGGGGCCGGCGACTTGGATACGGATACGCTCTGGTACCTGCAATTGACGGAGCCGATGAACCTCCAGAGAAGCCCAATTACATTGGGTCCAGTGTCCCAGGAGTGACACCTGTAGGCGTGGATCTTCGAAGTGGATCAAGGCCCTTTGGGAAGGAGACTATAGGACAAAACAAGAAGATGTCTCCTAAGGCCGGGAATTCCAACTTCGAGCTATCGAGCGTTGTGAGTCGCATACGTCTTCGCAGCTTCTCTAGTGCATTTAGTGAAGGCTTGGGTGAACAGCTCAAGTCCTCAGTGCTGGAGAAATTCTCCAAGCGTAAGGAGCAGCTCGATCCCACTGCAGTTGATACAAAAAATCCCTGGGACTTCTGCTCTTGGGTTGATCCAAACCAGCCTGCGAGCGAACAACAGAATGAACAAAAAAGCTCGTCAGTCTCTACCAGAAGTACTGAGGGGCGACCTTTGGGCAGATGGGCGACCTTGCGACGTACAGGGAGTTTGTTGAAGGGTCGCAGCGTGTCAGCGATTACGCGCGGCTTTGAAGCCAACTCGACTGCGACAATGACCACTCCAGCTGGGAGATACCCCGTGGCGCGGAGAAAGGAGGGTCGCATTCTCAAATTCAAGGTCCTCGACCGTAAAAATAGGGCTAAGAGTGCCGACGACGATGTCCCTATCGTCTCCGCCGAGAACTTGCATGAAACAGCCGGCTCAGATGATTTCCAGCACGAGGGACAAGAACACGACCAGCAGACCGTCCAGACAGGCACCCATAATACCAAAAAGGATCGGTATAATTCTTCTGACAAAACCGGATCAGAGTCTATCACAGATGACTGGAAAAGTACTTACCAGGACTACCAAGAAATGCTTGGGTAGGTGCCAGTGTTCGTTTGGCCACTTATATATTTTTGAGGCCGTCGGAGCACAACCCACACTGGCAAGTTGTTACAACAACTATTATCAATGTACAACACTTGATGCATCTGACGCTGCCTCTTCACTTCTGGAAAACAGCTGTTACTCTGAACAGTCAATATTAGCATTCAAATTATATCGGTAACTGGTTATCGTCTCTTTGATGAAAGTCCACCGTACCAATAAAAGGATAGGGAAACAATTAATATTGAATGTGTTACATCGATGAAATAATTGCATTAAAACCAGTGATTGTCAAGCCCAAGCTTCATGTAGTCGTACAGAGGTATATCGAAACACCAAGAACGCCGCCCATTCTCCAACGCCCATAACATCAATCCTCTTTTACTTCCGTTGCCGCTTCGTACTCTTATCACTAGCATTGCTCAGCACACTAGCAGAGCGTTTATGCGAAGGCCCATCTCCCTCCTCACCAGCACCAGCACCTCCTGCCTTCTCCCCCGATTCATCTGTCGCACCCTTCTCCTGCCCCTCCGCATCCCCAGCACTCTCCTCCGCCGCCGCAGGAAGCGGCTGATCCTCCTGCTGCTCCGACTTGACCTCAGGCTTACCATCCTTCTCTAGCGCCTCCTTTGCCTTCTTCTCACGTTCCTCCTTCGCAGCCTCCAAAACCCGAATCTCACTCTCCACCTTCTCCGACACCTTCCGCGCCTCCAACAGCAAATTCACCGAGTGAATCAACTTCTCAAAATCCCTGCAGACGCGCTCCGTCGGCATGACAAGCCGCAGCGGTACCTCCAGTTCCGCCAGCGCGGCAGCGAGTTTCTGCGTCTGCACATTCGATTTCGCTTGCGTGAGCTTCTGCGCGCGGTCACTGCGGAATTGCACGCCCGGCGCCAGTCGGTCGTGGTGCTGCACGCCGTATTTGGCTTCTTCGGCGGGCGTGAGGGTGCGGACGGCTTGTTGTTGCGCTTCCTTGTTCGCTGCTGCAGCTGCTGCGGCTGCCGCGGCGGCGGCCTTTTTGTTGGTTGGGGCGGCGGCCGGGGTTGCGTTCGGGGTGTCGGCGCGGCTGTCGCGGGCGCTGCTGGGGGCATTGGGGGCAGGGGTTGCGCCGGCGGGGCTGGGAGCGGCGCCGCCTTCCGGGCCAAGGATGGAGCGGCGTTTCTTGCTCTTGTCGGCTTGGAGGAGGGTTTGGAGGAGTTGTGAGAGGCCTTGGCTGGATTGGTACATGGTTGTGTTGCCGACGCTGATGGGGACTTCGAGGCGGGAGTAGAGTTCGCGACGCTCGGTGATGAAGTCCTGTTCGTTGGCGGTGATGCGTTTGAGTTCTTCGAGGAGGACGCTTTCTTCGCGGACTTCGTCGGCTGTGCGGTTGAGTTGCAAGGCGGCGAGTTCTTTGCGGGAGCGTTCACGATCGGCGTCGAACTTGAGCATCTTCTCGTGTAGTTCGAATTCAGCTTCGGACATCTCAGAAGGTGGGTGTTCGAGTGCGAGCATGCTTGCGGCAATGAAGTAGTAGCGCGATTTCATCTGCTCCATGGTTCGGTGTTGCTTTGCGGGGACGAGAGCGCTGGCGTTGTTGGTGTCGCCATCGACGGAGTGCGGTTGGTAGTCGTAGCGGTCGGCGATTACGACCCAGCGGAGGTCGTACTCTTCGACTAGGTCCATGAGGTAGTCGGTCTCCTGGCGCGTCCAGTCGTCGTTCTTGAGATGGCGGTTGTATTCCTCGTCTGTGTAGCGGTTGGGTACGCGGGCTTTGATGTTGTATTTGGCGAATATAGAGTTCTGCTGTGGCATGTTGTCGGAGGTTGAGGCATCGGCGTTGTCTTCTTTCTTCTCGTCCACGTCCATCTCGGAGCCCTCCAGCGCGGGGACCTTGGCGGATTCATGCTGGCGCTGCCAGTGGCGGAGAACGAGGCCGTCGGAGCGGGCGCTGTTGATGAAGGGGGTCATGCGCCTGATGGAGTCAGTATTCGGTATCGGAGAGCAGTAGATATATGGTGGTGTGTGCGTACCATGGCTGGACGCGCTTTTTGCTCGTCCATTTCGGGCGTCCCTTGTAGCGATTCTCGTTGATGGCGATCGGAGGTGCTCGTTCACCTAGCAGAGCATAGAGCTCACGGGTGATACCCTCTAGTGGTTGGAAAGTGTCAGAGTTATTTTAGGTGAGTGAATGAAGTGAGAGAAGCTCACCTGGACGCTTCTCGACGACCTTCTGTTTCTTATGAGGTCGGGGCTGGCCCTCCGCGGGCAGATCCAGCATGTCGCGAACATCGGCGGCGGCCATGGCGGAGGCACCTGTGGGGGTTTGAGGGCTGAGCGATTTCCAAGGGTGATGAGGCCAGATGTATTTGATTTTTCGATGGAATCAACAAGAAGATAGCAATGCAGCGATGTAATCTTCGAGGAGCGAGAAAGGAAGAGGGGAGGAGATGGAAGGGAAGATGAAGGCGGAGAAGCAAAAGTCATGAGAATTCGCGCCAAGACGGGATCCGGCCAGATCGAGGCAATCGCTTCATCGCCAACTGTTCTCATCATCTCCCTCCCTCTGTTGTCTCTTTCCCCCTCCGCCAATTTTTCCCATTCAACTGCATCATGGCTCCGGTAAGATCCTCCGCCTCATGGCTGTCCTCCTTGATGGCCGTGTGTGCCATCCTGTGCCTCTCGGTGCCCGCCAACGCCCTCTACTTCTACATGGACGGCCGCCAAACAAAGTGCTTCTTTGAGGAGCTCCCTAAGGATACCCTGGTTGTCGGTATGCTACTCACTATCTGCTCCCCCACTTTATTCACTACTCAATACTAATGCGATATGGGTATAATAAAGGTACCTACTCTACCGCCGTGATCAACCAACAATCCAACACCTACAATGTGGACCCTAACCTTAAGATGCTCGTCACCGTCGACGAGATCTTCGACAACGACCACCGCGTCGTCTCCAAGCGTGACAGCCACTCTGGTCGCTTTACCTTCTCCGCTGCCGACGCCGGCCTGCACAAGATCTGTGTGACTCCCGAGACCAACGCCGCAACTGGCGGCGGCTGGCTGTCGGGCGCCCCGTCCGGTGCCGTCCAGGTCACTCTGGACATGGCCATCGGTGAGACCAGCAAGATCGAGACGGAAGACAAGGACAAGATGCAGGATATTGTGCAGAAGGTGAAGGATCTGAACGGCCGGTTGCAGGATATTCGTAGGGAGCAGGTGTTCCAGCGGGTATGTTTCCCACCACGGGGATGATGTTTTGGGCAGTATGATCAATGACTTACTAACAATGTGTCTAAACAGGAACGTGAAGCTGAATTCCGCGACCAGTCTGAGGCCACCAACTCCCGCGTGGTTCGGTGGACTCTCATCCAGCTGGCCGTGCTCTCGGTGGCTTGTGCTTGGCAGCTTTCGCATCTGCGGTCGTTCTTCATCAAGCAGAAGTTGACATAAACGGGGGACTTACTTTTCTTTTTCTTTGTTCGAGATCGAGGGAGTACAAGTTGGAGAAAATAGGCCAAAAGGAATGAGTGTGAGGTACCTGGTTGTACTTACAATAAACTACTACCTAGCTAGCTATGATCGGTTGTTTAGCGATTATTATTTCTCTCTTGTGTGAGTTTGATGAGTGAATGTAAAATGCATGTATGTGGTTCTGCTGATGAGGTTTCAATGTACTTGTGTGTGGTATATATTGAGGCAGTATGATTTCTGCTGCTACTGCTCCGAGGAACCTCACCTCCCCTATCTCTATCGTTCTGCCGGCATATGTTTTCGGGATGCTTAATATAGAAAGAAGTGGTATTGTAGTCCCAAGAATTCCTCAGCATCTTGCTTTTCCACCATAGAATACCCAGGTGTTCAAGGAAATCCAATGCATCACAGTAGCCACAGAAGATACGACAGCAGCCCAATTACATGAATAGAAGGACTAATAATACTTACTCTATTACCATGGTACATATGCTGGTGGTCACTTTCCTAATTCCTTGCTGGTATTAACCAGGCTCTCCAGGTTTACCCGTTCTATCAACTTGGTTTCACCAACCAGCAAAGCCATCAGCCATCACCGCCATACTTCTAGTACTTACTAATGTATGCCTGATAACTTTCCCAATCATTACATGCCACGTGCGAGCAACATCCTTGGGCTCATCTCGCTCATTGTGGGAAATCATATTTCCAGGTTGACGTTTGTCATTTGAAAAGTATCATAATTAACCCTCTGGTGTGAAGCTAACAAGCAATATACCTGGAATTCAGCTTTTACCATTACGTTTTTTACTGTCTTCACGACTGCTCCCAAAGCATAGGAGAAGATGACACACAGCACTAAAAAATTTATTTTGTGACCACGCTCAATCTGCCACAGCAGTCTAAGCCAATTGACCAATTCTTCTCTTCCACGCCGCTATCCGATCCATTCATCTCATGGTAGCAACAACTCCTATTAGACTGATCCTGGTCCCAACCACCGGAAGATAATCCAAAGACCCCCCCCCTGTTGCATCTGCTCTGCTGCAGCCCACAGCCTATGCTTTCCGAGGCATAGTAGCAGAGCAGTGAACTATATCAACCCAACAAATATGCTAGTTCCTGGAGGTAGTCCTGCAACAAAACTACTAGAGCCACCGTAAAACTGCCCCCTCGAACACAGAATATAATACGCGGCACTTGTGCTGACAGCTAAGCCGACTTACAATCAAGAATGTAGACAGCAATGCCCGATTGTCGTGGAGTTTTCTAGGGCTTCTTGGCTACTATAAATGGGTGTTTAGTGTGCATACTACGTATTCTCGGCTATGTCAACCCAAAGGATGATTTGTCTTCCCTTTCGCTACTGTTGGTGGCTCGGGTCTACTAAATTAGTGCTTATTGGAGGGAAAGATTGTATAGATAGTAACAGCGAGATTTATCTATCTAGCATTCATTCAAGTGTTGGACCATCCAAAAATCATTGCATTCTTTCAAGTTGGACGAAACGTGTGCGTTTCCATCTTTGCCCCCAGTCATCAT